GTATCTTAACTGTGGCAACTGCAAACCATAGTAGCATACTATGCTCCATTCAGTCTTTCACGGTGTGTGTCCTTGTATTTATATTCTTAAAGTCAGATGATCTACTTCAGTGTTCTGTTGACATACGCAGATATTTTGCAGCAGATGGAGTGGATATTATTGCATAGCTGTTGGGGTTTTTACTATGTTAGGGCGGCCATTAGAGTAAAACTTGAGCGATTTATTAATCATCACCAAGCAGGCAAATCTAGCTAGGGAAATATATTCTTCCATCTTGGACAAACCGTTTCTTGTTGTATGAAATAGGGAGTGAAATGCTTCCTCCGACCTAAAATGTATGACGCGCGTTGACATTTCGCACAACGTTGGACTATCGTTTATAAAAAAATATAATCTAAAAATATAAAAAATATCATTTATTTTATCATGATTTTTTTTGTCATCAAATAAACTATAATCTTGACTCACACTTTTACATATTTATACTAAAATTTTAATAAAACAAATGGTCAAACATTATACGAAAAGTCGAAAATCCAATAGCGCCATGGTACGAAGGAAATATATACGACTCATGACTTTGTTGGTAACTGCCTCTTTTTCAATATATGACGCGATCGTCTTTTTGATCATTCGTCTTATAGGAAATTTCAATTAAATATGTTTTCTTTTGTTGTAGCTTAATTTATCACTAAAGGAGGTTTAAGCAATACTTATATTTTTAAGATTTGCATATTTTTTATTAATAAGGCTAACGATGAATTTTATAACAAAAGGTACTACTTCCGTTCCAAAATATAATAAATTTTAGCTATGAATTTGGACACACAGAAATACTTGTATTTTGGGACGGAGAGAGTACGATAGTACGACTGTTTTTGGCTTATGTGATTAGAGCAGGTACAATAGTAGATTATAAGCCAGCTATAAATATATTTTAAAGAGATAAAAGAAGAGAGAGAAGACTATAAACATATTTTAAAGAGATAAAAAGAAGAGAGAGAGGAGCAGCTGGCTACAGATCTGTAGCCAGCTGCAGCATAGACTCCAAGACGTAATGTGTGTATGACAGGTGGGACCATATATTAATAGTATAGTAAGCAACTAATGTATGAATTGGCTATTACATTGGTTATAGATGATTTGGAGATAGTAGTTGGCTGTACAATTATTAAACTTGCTCTTATTAAAAAAGATCCTCTGCTAGCGAAACTGTGCGCAGGGACGGAGCCCAATGGGGGTGGAGGAACGATGTGCAACGGGCCTAGTTTGTGCAGCTCGGCCTAATGGCCCAGAAAATCAGGCGAGACGGAGACGCGGCCGAGGCCCATCAGGCGCTCCGAAACATGGCCTGTGTACGAGACCACGAGCCTGGTCGCCTTGTGGTTCAGAAAGGCCATCGCAGAATCGCACGCACTCGCGATATTCATTCACAAAAACGTTGGTCGTGTCGTGTGAAAGAATTCGCCGTAGATCGACGAACAATTCAATACGGCACAACGCACAACCGCATGAAGAAAGAGGGAGAGAGAGAGAGAGAATGCGTGAGACGCTCGTTTCAAAAAATGAAGAAAAAAAAGGGAGAGAATGCGAGAGACGCAACACGGCGTCAGCGATGAGTGGCATGGTGGGATCCTCTGCGGCCTCGTATTTCTATCTGCTTAACTGGCCCGTTTGAAACTGATTAAAACATATACCTTCGTTTCTCTTTTCTTTTCCAGTTCCTGTATTCAGACCTTGTTCTGTTTTCGCTTTCTCCCAAAAGCCGGGCAATCAATTACCTGTTATAAAAAAAAAACCTTCGCTTTTGTTAGCGCGTTTTGAAAACTATTTATTAATACTACTCACTCTTTCCCATAATATAAGAATACAATACTACATAGGATACCAATACTATATAGGACAGCTAGATTCGTAGTACTATTTGCTCTAAAATATCCTGTAACAACGGAAGTAGTGTGCATATTTCGTGTGAAAATTTTAAATCGAATTTTCTCTATAATATCAGATAAATCTATTTTTCCGTTTGAAAATAAACTAAAACTCAGCAATATCAGACGGGGCCTATATCCAAAACAACAGGTTTTTCTTTGTGTTTGTGTGACTTGTACGTGTCAGCCAGCCACACAGATGTCTTGGTCCAAGAATGGTTTCACTGGATCCGGGATTCGTACGTTCCTCTCGAAGCAAAACCGCGAACAAAAAATAATAAAAAAAAAAAAGTTGTCAACTGCACCGAGCGAGTTGGGGGGAGAAAAGAATGGCTGCGCCTGCGTGGCATCTTCTTCTATAAATAGCTCTCCAACACCAAAATCTCTTTGCCATCCCAACCATTGCAAATTTGCAATCAAATTTGGAGTATCAAATAGGATTCAAAGAGAGGAATCGAGCGAGCTTCCAAAGAGGAGAGCAATCGATCGATCGAAACCGTAGCAGGATCAGGATGTGCCGGCAGGTGAAGTGCGAGACGTGCGGCAAGTCGACGTGGGCAGGGTGCGGCCGCCACGTGGCGTCGGTGCACAGCCAGATCGCCGACGGCCAGCACTGCGCCTGCCGCGCCTGGCCGGGCGTCGCCACCGCAGCCGGCGAGAAGGACCTCGCTGTCACCGCCGCAGCAGCAGCGGCGGAGACGGCCGGCGGGAAGACGACCTCTGCCGCCGCCGGGGAGCGTTCGTCTTCCGCCTAATTAATCAAGCAACATATATGTACGAGGACGAATAATTAATGACGTGTGCTGCTGGCACGTTGTTTGGTTTGGCTTGTCCGTGTATACTTTTGATTTTTTATTAACCTGTGAACGGTGATGTATTTTCGTTTTCGATCAGTTGGGAGTAATATTATTTGTATGGAAGTTTGTTAATTTGTTCATCGATTCGCCGATGTACATAACCAATTCCTCCAACAACCTTGACGGTTGACCTGCTTTCCTTGGTTCTTTTTTCCCTTTGTAGCGCGCGGGCCGGCCAGCCGTCTGGCGGCCCACGAGGAATCATACGGGCCGAGCTGCGCGACGGTCATAACATGGCCGCCGCTAACTGAAGGCTGCTATGCTAATGCAAGGGCTTTTATCTTATCAACCTATTTTTAATCAAATATTGCATTATCAAAAGAAACTCTAATCTTAACTTATATTTTTTTATATTTATACTATTTTTTAAAAATAAATGAACGGTCAAACGTTATGAAAACATCAACGGCGTCACGTATAAAAATATGGAGGTAGTATAACTTTTGTGTACATGTGGAGTTGTGAACTTTGCTTTTTTTATTTATTTAATAACAGTACAGTTTCGTTCTATTCCAAAATTTGAAGCCAACGCTTACAAAATTATATACATAACACATTCTAATATTTTTCATTACTAAAAAAAGATCTACCTAAACAGTCAAAATAGTTTTACGCAGACGGTCACGGCTACATCACAACAACTACTTGTAGCGGGCATCGTAACTGTTTGTGAAAATAATTTTCATAGGCAGTCTCCTTAAGAGGGTCGCTTGCAAAAATCGGTATTTCCAAACGGGTATATTAAGCCACCTGACTGTGTAACAATTATTACTAGCATTAGTCAAGCAAATTATTGTCATTTTGTATTAATCTATATTGTCATTTTTCTTCAAATTTTGTTATAACTATTTAGATGACATGCAAATAACGAGGGATGTCCCCTTGAGTGATAAAAATCAACATAAAAAAATAACTCTATTATTACTAGCGGACCTTTCAAGTAACAACATGGAAAAATTAATTTTCGCTGACGTTTTGTGAGGAATATGTCCAATACATTTTTACAAGCATTTGTTTTTTTTTCAATCTGCCTGTAAAAATAAAAAGTTGGTGCCATAAAAAAGAAAAGTTTTTTAAGTAGTGTATATGGTGATGACAATATGATCCATGGACCAGAACATAACTTTTACCACGTGGGAGCACTGGTGGAGAAATCATTTTTGGTCGGTCGGTCGAAATCCACAATAGTCTCGGTTCCACTAAAAACCGGGACTAAAGATGATCTTTAGTCCCGGTTGGTGGCTACAGCGGGCATATTTGATCTTTAGTCCCGGTTGGTGATGATCTTTAGTCCCGGTTCTAAACCTGTCAGTCCTTGTCAGGGCCCCCAGAATATTTAATCCCGGTTGGTGACACCTATCTTTAGTCCCGGTTGGTAACACCAACCGGGACTAAAGATCCCGGGGATCTTTAATCACGGTTGATAACATCAACCGGGAAGAAATCGCACGCACCAGCCCACGCACAAGAGCATGCGCAGCCTCTCTCTCTCCTTCTCCCATCCTTATCTCCTTTTCTTCTCCTTCCTTATCTCCATCCTCTCCATCCTTCTCCTTCCATCCTCTCCCCTTGCTCCTCTCTCACCCCCTTTCCTCCTTCCATCCCCCTCCTCCCCTTGCAGAGGCGGCTGGCGGCGGCGGCCGGGCGTGGGCTGGCGGCGGGATGGCGGCCGGGCGCGGGCTGGGCCTGACGGCAGTCGGCCGGTGGTGGCGGGATGGGTGGCCGGCCGGCGGCGGGATGGGAGGCCGGCCGGTGAGTCGAATTTTTTTTATTTTTTTTAATTTGTGGTTTGGATGTTTTGATCTGTGAATGAATCTATGAATCAATATTGTGAATGAATCTGTGATGTTGTGAATGAGTATGTGACTCGATGTTGTCAATGAACCTGTGAATCAATATTGTGAATATATTTGTGATGTTGTGAATGAATATGTGAATGGATATTGTGAATGAATTTGTGATGAATCTGTGAATCGTGCTGTGGAGTTGTGATGTGGATTTGGGGTTTGATTTGACGATATGCATACCACTCGATTCGCGAGAAAATAAAAAAGAAAAAAAAGACCAGCTGGTGGACTGCCGCTACCCTCTCTTTAGTTCCGGTTGATAACACCAACCGGGACTAAAGATCGCTATCTTTAGTCCCGTATTAGTAGTCCCGATTTAAAAACGGGGGTCACGAACCGGGACTTAAAAAGCATTTCTCCACCGGTGGAGTTTTCCCCTAGTGTTAATTAGTACAGCTTTGTAGATAGACACTAACATTATTACTAGCATTAGTCAAGCAAATTATTTAGGAGAATATGCATCTGATCCGCGGCCGCCGCGCGCACCGCGCTCGCGCGCAAAACATGGCGATGGCGCCGCGCCCGCGTCGTACTATACGTGGATCACACGACGTACGTACGTACGTGCGCCATATATACGTGTTCTCGCATCACGGTCCACCACGCGGATGATACGCACTTCGTCGTCCTCCTCCGTCTTCCACCCGGAGCGCGGCGGCGGGAGAGCTGCTGGAAGAAGCGCCGTACCGCGGGTGCATTTGCAAGAACCCGGCGTCCATGGCCGCCGCCGGCTTGGGCTTCCAGTGGCGCTTCCGCTGGTTGATGAACCAGTTGGTGACCTGCTTCTTGTCCAGCCCCGTCGACTCCGCCAGCGCCGCCTTCTCCGCCTCCTGCACAACACATACACGTTACGTACACCATGCCGGCCGGCTAGATCAGTGTATGGAGTACTATCATTTACCTAGCTAGCGCGAGCTCAAGCTAGCAAAAGCAGCTAAGAGCCATGGCGTGGTGTGATATATATACGTACCGATGGGTACGGCCATCTGTAGTGAAGGTGCCACCATTGGAGGAGCTTGTGGCGAGCGTCACGGGGAAGATGCCCCGTGCTGTTCTTCTTCTTGTTGGAGATCTCCGTCCATAGGCTGTTCAGGTAGCCGCTGTACTTGTTCATGAGGTGCCTCCTCGTCGTCGTCGTCACCTCATTCTCTCCAAATGCGGCGCTCTTCTCCGGCAAGCCGCCGGCGACCTCGTCCTCGTAGTCGTAGCTAACGTCTTCGTCTGCAGATGAGATATATATATATATACATACGCTTCATCACGACAGATCAATGATATTTTGGATAAGTATATATATCCTCTAGCTGCACTGTGTGTTATTATGAAGGAATATTAATGATGATTGAGTACATATACTATTGCAATTTGTACACAAGGAGAGAGAGAGAGAAAAAAAAGGTATCTCCATCACCATGATAAAGCAATTAAGAATTAATGTCAAATTCCTCTTGAAATTGCATTTCTTTAAAAGCAAAGAAAACAAAAGTAACTTGTACTCTCATATTGATTTTGTGTCATAATCCCTTGATCCTCCATTTTACAAATATATGGCGTAAACTATTTTTTCAGTGTTTTATAATATAAAGTGTGCATTCAATTAACTAGTACCTTTCCCTTCCATAAGTTTATTTATTTTAATCCTTCACCCTTATTAAGATCTCAATTATCTCATTGGGTGCATATAAATTATATTTATTAGGGTTACCCAAAGGTGAAGATAATAGTATTTTTTCTTAATCTTTGTGTTAATGGTACTCGTACCTCTTATATTTTGGAATAAGGAAAGTATATAAGTAGCATTTGTAGTGGTGCAAATAAAACTAGCAAGCCAAATTTCAGTTTACAATTAGTAACCCCTCCCTGTTGCTATCTGCAAAACTGTCGCATTAATTAATATATAAATACCCAAACCAATCCAGACATGCCGAACTTAAACTCAATCTTGCACTGTTGCACACCCCCATTCCCATGCATGGATCCATATATAGCAACGTGAGAGCTCATGCGTGCATGAATCAAGCCAATTCTGTAGCTAGCTACCTCCAATATTTAATCATGCATGCGGACATGCAGGGGACAGAGTAATAATCATCGATTATATTAGATGCAGTAATTAATAATGCACAGATTTGGCCGGCAAAGAAAAGGGGCGCTTGAGAGCTAATGCCATGACGTCAAGCACAGTGTTTCTGCTGCTGCTGCTGCAGAGGTATAACGATATACTCCACTTTCTAACTTTTCCATCACATCGTTTTAATTTGAACCAAACTTCGAATTTTAGCGTGAACTAAACACAGCCTCTATATGATCCAGCTAGCATATACTTATATGCATAAACCCATGAGTCTATGACTGGACATGTGATTTGGGTGGACCACGTACGGGTCATGCCAGCAAAATGACAAGCATGCATAATTGCATATGGATGCAAATCAAACTACAATTCAAATACGTATTTTCCTGTCACTCTAAAATCGATGGTTTCACTTGGCGGCTGGCCCCCAAAATATATTTTGCGGTTGGTTTAAGTGTATCTCTCCATAGAGGACGGACAACCATAATCAATTTCTCTTTTTCAGTATGGCCCTGGAAAGTTTTTAAATATGATTTGACAGACGTTCATAGGGCTTCCACATACATTAGCTAATATGAGACGTAAACATGTCAGTCAACCAGGTCTAAAATCCACTTTTCAGTCATATTGCTTTCTTTTTTAGTAAAAAATAATTTGCAATTATGGAATCCTATCTTAAAGGCCATCCCTTTATTTTTTTTAAATGAATTGAATAGAAATTTCATGAGATGGGAATTTGTATCAAAGAGAGAAAGAAATGTCTTCTCCGCTTGATAATTTTTGGCTACGAGGCTCTTTGAAGATTTTGGCGGATTTAGCGATCAAGAAAATTATGGATTCTTATATGTATAGGGTTTCCTAAAAAATATATGGTGCAAACATGTAGTAGATTTATCAAATCTAATTAATTGGTTTCTTAATATATATTCAATGGGCTCTGAGACAATATAATCTCGATCGCAAAACCAAAACTCAAATTGACTTGATCTTGCACGAGGTAAATTGTTGTTTGTGTCACATTGCTCCTGACCAATTAATTAACACGCACTTTCTCACTTTGCACAATATGTCAAATTATCAAAACAAGTCAAATTTCTTGCTATGTCATGTGGAAACCTCGTATAGCAAGATCTCTCTCTCTCTCTCTCTCTCTCTCTCTTTCTCTCTCTCTCTCTCTCTCTCTCTCTCTCTCTCTCTCTCCACAAATCGAGAAAATGACTAGATCTTATCTCATAAGACTTCTTTCACGTGGTCCATTAGTCTTTACACTTTATTTTTCATGGTTTCACCCAAATTTTTCATAGGACAATATAGTAAAAACTTAATACAACATCTTGTGCGAAGTGATGAAATACATATACTAACGTTGGTGTAAAGGAAAACATGCGTGTATGATGCGTTTTATCATGTGCAAAGTGCGATTTACTACTCGTAGAATGTCACATGTCATGGTACGTTGACACATGCACTCTACGCACCTGAGAGGTAAGAGTAATTTTAACTCTTAGATCAAAGTACAACAATGATTTGTAAGAGCTTTGGGTGAATGAGCACACTATATCTAAGCAACATAATCTTAATTTATTGAGTAAATTTCATGAAACTACATGTACTTTGACCAAAGTAGCACAAAACTACAAATTTAAGACGTTGTATCGTAAAACTACAGATTTAGCACTAAATTCATCACAAAACTATTTATTTAATACTAATTGTCACAAAACTACAAACTTTTTAGTTTAAATCCTTAGCACTAATTATACTATCTTCATATGTTATAGTTTTGTGATTACATTGGTGTAAAACTTGTAGTTTTGTTACTAAATCATCTATAGTTTTATCATATTCTATCTTAAATGTATAGTTTCGTGATAAATTTACTATTAAAACTGTAGTTGATACATTGGCTAAAAATGTATTGTTTTGCGATTGTTCAATTAAAGTACTTGTAATTTTGTAAAATTTACTTTAATTTGTTTGTTGACTATATATGACGAGATAGATCATAGATATTCGTGGTTCATCTATCACTCCACCATGACCTCTAACGATTAGAGCCACATGGGTTTAGTTTTTATCAGCTTAATAATTCTCTGAGAACCATTCTAGATTAAGGGACCATATGCGCATCTCTAGTTAACCGTTCATAATTAAAAAAACTGATTATTTAATAATGATTCATGCATGTTTTAAACTGTTATAGACTAGCGTAAATCAAAGCTCACTTGTGGATTTAAAGCCAAATAACTCAGTACTAGAACTGTTAGAGATAAGGGACCACGGACTATGTTATGTAGTGGTTTCTTTTTTTGTTCCTTTTAATTTAATCGACAAATAAGCGTGTGTACTAGGACGATATTTGCACAGCAAAAGCTGCTGGCACGCACTGTCGCAACATTATTCAGATCTGAACAGGGAAAAGCCAATGATCAATTGACAAATAGTGCGAGTATATGCACCTAGTGCCAAGGAGTCGATCTGCTCCTCTATGCCCCTGAAGAACTCTTCAGCTTCTTGGATTGGCCTCGCTAGCTCCTGCCCATACCTCGTCAGCATGTAACAGTAGGTTTCCTGTGCACAGAAGACAAAATAAATACTTAATTTGATGTAACAGTAGCTACGTTTCCTGTGCACAAAAGATAAAAAAAAAGAAAGTACTTTTTTTATGATACATAGCATTATAGCTCCAGCATCATGCTTAAGAATATATATATCTATACTATTTTAAATGTTGACCGTCGTTACCACTACTGTGTGGGTCCATGATATCAGTGTTCATCATATAAATCAAATACAAATGTGTATAATTTATATCAATTAATTGTTCATTACTATGAGCAATTGTTTAGCTCGACATACTCTTGTAAAAAGTTGTATCAAAGATGGTACGACGATTAGAGAGTGAATGATTTTATTTTGCCCTTTTCGCTTTGCTGTTATCCTGCCCGTTGCATCGTATGGGTATTTAATTAGTTAGTACTACCTCCGTTTCAGGTTATAAGACTTTCCAGTATTGCCCACATTTCTATATGAATATGGACAATGCTAGAAAGTCTTATAACCTCTTATAACCTGAAACGGATGTAGTAGTATATATATAAGACACAGATGACAGATCAACACATGTATCATCCATTACCATGAATTGGTCGAGCTCAGGGTCAGCCGCCGGCTGTTGTGCAGGAAGACACCGGTCGCCGGAGTACTGCGGGACGTCGGTGACGACGGCGAGGGAGGAGAGCCGGCCAACAACTTCCGGTGGCGCTCCGACCTTAACACACAGTAGTACAACAAAGAATTAATGCATGACGAACACAATTTTTTCGCATGGAAATTAAATATACACAAGAGAAACCAACAAAAACGGCGTTACGTATATATAATTTATATACCTTCTTGCAGTCGACGAAGGCTCTCAGGAGAGACGGATACAGAGGGTGCGACATGATCTTGGCCTTGATCATTGCTTCCGATGATTGCAGGCCGGTGCCGCTGCCATGGATGGATTGCTCAGAGCCTGAGGTCGCCTCTGGCGGCGGCGCCGGCGCCGCCACGGCGGCCGGCGATGGCGAAGAAGTGGACGCATGATCTCGAGCGAGGCAGAAGGGAGTAATTGTGGTGCTGGCCTTGGATCCGCCACCGCTTGCAAGGAGAAGATGAAGTTGCTCCATGTGAGTGTGATCTGTGAATTATCTTCTTGGGACAATCGATCCAGGCTATCTCACTGAGGTTTACACATTAATATTGTTTGTGGTAGGAGGTTAGAGACAATATATTGGAACATTAGGGCAACAAGGAGAAGCTTTCTGTACATTGGGTCACCTTTCTTAGTACTTGGATCAGATATTGAGTGATTGAGAGGGAAAGGACATGGTTTGTGCTTACAAAATAAGGGAAAAAAATTGTGCTCCAAAATTAATAAGGGGAGTAATTAATAATCAATTTTGGTGGTTGTTCAATTAAGGGTATTTGCTTAGTAATTGTTGTCTTTTAGTTTCCTATATCCAGTAAAGCTTCACCAGTTAGGAAATGAGCAAATGCAAGTAAGCTACACCTTCCGTCTCAAAATAAGTTCATTTTAACATTGGGTTTTTATATACGATGTTTGACCGTCTATCTTATTTGAAAAATTAATGAAAAATCTAATAATGAAAAATCTAACAAAAATAAGTCATGTATAAAGTAATATTCATATTTTATCATCTAATAACAACAATAATACTAATCATAAAAAATTTAAAATAAGACGGACAGTCAAATGTTAAGCACAAAAACCCACAAATAAACTTATTTTAGAACCGAGGGTGTAATCATGTTCCTTTCTTGAAATGTCAAAGCTGCCCACCATCCAGTACTATATCACATCATCTAACTCACATGGAAAACCTAGCTAGTAGTAGGTACTATAGCATATTTTCTCCCCTCCAAACACGTGGGAGTGCCGCAATATTACTGCTATATCCCTGCCACTTTTAGCACTTTTGTAGAAATGCTCTTGATCTGTTTGCGGTTGAAAGTAGCTAGAGTACAATTACTTGGGCCTTTTTCATTTACAAATTAATGAGTTTAGGATGAAAGGAATCTTTTATAGATTTAAAATTACTAAAAAAATGAAAGACATTTTTAAAAATGCCTGACCATAAGAAATTTTTAAATAAAAACTTATGATGAAAAATAGAGTGTTTCAACATGAAAACATGACAGAAATTGTGTTGGAATTTACTTGCAAAAGATCTACTCATGAGTTGAGTTACGTGTCTTTTCAGACCAGAATAATACATAACTCACTATATTTTTTTTATGTGTAAGTGCTGAAATACATTTGTCTTTTATATCCAACTTACCAAATAAAACTAAATATAACTGTAGCGTTAGCACGGGCAAATTACTAGTCTTTATAGTTCCATTATTAATTGTATTAGGAGATTTTTATGTCTTTTAGGTGATACCGAGAAGGTATATACTCCATTCGTTTAGATTATTTGTAATTCTAGCAAATTTTACACTAAACAAGCAGCTACGTGAAAAAAAAAACTACATCGTTTTCCTCCTCAATACATGCTAAAATTACATCAAAGATTGTGGTGCCTTTAAAAGTATCTCTCGGAGGATAGAAACACACACGTAATTAAGTCCCCTTTTAATTCATAGGATAATAAAAACACAAGAGTAAAGAAAACATAGGAATTAAAATGGTATGCATGTCCAATACTACAGGATTTACATTTCCATACAAAATTGTAATACCTCTTACTATTTTCCCTATATATGAAAGTGAACCATAGGAATGCAATACTATGAAAAGCTTCATTTTCAGACAAATTGATATTACAGGAGAGATGGCTTGGTTTAAAAAACAGAAAGAGAAAAAACTAGTTGCCAACTTTATTTGATCAATGTCTTCCCCCCTAAATACTCTGGAGTATATATAAGACAAGGCCTCTGGCTTTTTCTTTTTTTTTTTACCACAAGAGGGTCCAGCTTTTGTAGTGCAGAGATATTATTACACAACAAATATGTCAGCTAGCTCAGCACGCACATATATCTCATATCACCACTAAATTAATCAATGCCGTTAATTCCTGCTATCGCCTTAATTAATTCAGTCGTCACTACACCGTCAACAAATATATAAATGTACTTACCTTTTCTTTTGCCGACGGAAAATGTACTGTACTACATCGCACGCGTGGCTATAATTCACTGGCTGAGATATGAAAAGCTATTTTAATTTTGGATGGGTTGCCAAAAGGGGAAGAATCATGTACTCCTACACTGTTTCCAATTGTTCTTTTGACATAAAGCATATCTGCAAGAACGTTTTGACCATTCTTCAGTTCGTACGGCGCCACACATATACTCCTTCCATCCAAAAAAAAAAAAAAACTCATCCAGATTTATTAAAGTTGCCAGTGAGCTTAATAATGTCATTCAGTCTGATGATCATCATCTATCAACCTACGTTAACCGTGTATGCATATATATACTACTCCTGATCTGTCCCTTAATATAAAGGATTTTAAGTGGATGTGACACAACTTAGATTCATTGTACTAGATTATATCACATCCACTCAAAATCCCTTATATTATGAGACGGAGGGAGTAAACCATAGCCGCAACATAGTTTAATTTAGATCCTGTTTAATCTAGCTCAATAATCTGCATATGTTTCGGCTCCTTTTTGTTTCAATAATCTGTTTCAGAATAAGATTATTGAGCTAGATTACTACAAGCTGTATTATAAAAAGCTGACATATAATAAGTTGTTAGCTGTTTGTTTATCTGGATTATTAACTGTTTGCTCGTTGTTAGTCACCCAATAATCAAAAAAACCACCTTTGGAGTGGATTACCAGATTATAGTAATCTGGCTTATCGATTGTAATAATCTATCATAATAAGTTATTTGTTTGTTTCAGCTTACTTTTAATAATCCAGATTATAATAATTCTAAACTGAATCAAACAGCGCCTTAATTGCTTCTTAGCTTATAAGTCGCAATCATATTTTTAAATTTAAATCTTAAATTTAGTATTAATTCCGATGATTTTATGTATTATTTTAGCATTAATTATCGTTAATACATATATAAATAAATATTTGCTTATAAATTATCTTTTAGCTCTAATGAGCGTCACAGCTTACTCCCTCCGTCCTTAAAAAAAAAAGACAAACCTTGAGTTTCCGTGTCTAATGTTTGACCGTCCGTCTTATTTGAAAAAATTATGAAAAAAATTAAAAAGACAAGTCACGCATAAAATATTAATCATATTTTATCATCTAACAACAATGAAAATACTAATTATAAAAAAAATTTATATAAGACGGACAGTCAAACCTTGGACACGGAAAGTTTGTTTGTTTGTTTTTTTTTTTTTTTGCGTGTGTGTATAGCCATCTGTACGACCGTGACAAAATCCATGCATGCTGCAGGACAGCGGAAGCTAGCTTGCCATCTGGGGAGCGCATGCATGGTCCCATTCGTGCATTGTCGTCTCTGCGATCGACCTGCAGCCGATTCAGTTGAACAGTGCTAACTTGGCAACCGATTCAACGACATGAAATCATAAATGCACTTTATTCGATGACAAAGATCACAAGAGCAATTATGAGTGAGTCAGTACTGTCAGCAAGGAGATTCAATTCAAGGAAAGCATATAGAAAGAGCTTAATTTAAGCTTCAAAGCTAATTATAAATTACTTAGGCTTAAAAAAATTTGTCTACCAAATTAGCTCTTGCAATTAGTTTTATAATTAGTTTCTATATGTTTAATACTCCGAATTAGCGTCTAAATATCCGGATCCAAACACCATATAGTCTCGAAATAATCTTGTATTATTATCTAATACTACTTTTCCATCCCATTTTAAATGTAGTTATGGGTTTTCTTATCTAACGTTTGGCCGTCCGTTTTATTTCAAAATTTTCTAAAAGAAAAAAAAATAAGTCATGCATAAAATACTATTCGTATTTAATTTATTATCTAATAAAAATAAAAATACTAATAATAAAATAATTTTAAATAAGATGGACGGTCAAACTTAGGCTCCATCTACCATTGAGCATGTCAATTAATATGTGCTAAAGATATTGCTTCTAGCGTCTAATTGCAATTTACTTCCTTATTATCCACTGACAGAGAAAGTGTTGTCGACAGTTCTCATATTTATGTGGCATGCATATTGGTTACCGATATACTCCTCCCCATCCCAAATTATAAGGTATATATTTTTTACATGATTTTTACTGACATACACTTTGACTAATAATTTATTTCATGTTTTGTTCCCAACGAATATGAAATTAACATCACAAGAAGTAGTCCAAATATGAATATAATGATCTAACATGCATAATATTTAGTATATACTCCTTCTATCCCTAAATATTTGACGTCGTTGACTTTTTTAAGCATGTTTGACCGTTCGTCCTATTCAAAAAGTTTAAGTAATTATTAATTATTTTCCTATCATTTGATTCAAATATACTACTACTACTCAAGTTTTTGAATAATATTCACAAAAGTTTTTGAATATTATTCAAAAACTTGAGTAGTAGTAGTATATTTGAATCAAATGATAGGAAAATAATTAATAATTACTTAAACTTTTTGAATAAGACGAACGGTCAAACATGTTTAAAAAAGCCAACGGAGTCAAATATTTAGGGACGGAGGGAGTATATTGTTAGTATAATTATTAGTTAAAAACCACCGAGTTTGATTTCTCTAAGGAAAAAAAAAAGGCCACCCCATAATTTTGGACGGAGGGAGTAAAGACCTTGACACTGGAACGAGAAACCTCGAATTGCATATAGGCATATTATTTTAGTTCTGGATTATATAACCCAAAAATGACTTCGAATTTTATAGATCAATTAATTGATCTTAAACTCAAATCCTAAAATTTAAAATCAGCTTCGGATTGCTTATTAGCTAGCCAAAAGAAGGCATCGATATTGACTAGCTAGTGCACCTAAGTTTTCCAAATCAAAGCATCTTGCAACCAAAATTATTCATCATATCCAATGCGTATGGTCATGTTTTTTAGATAATGACTCTCTCACAGTGTAGCTTGCATATTATATATGCTTGCGTGCATTGTAAATTTGGAATGCTCCTAGGTATAGCATGTATAAAAGGTGGTCCACATTACAGTGGCATCTGAAGGTGATCAGCTTTCTAAATCGATCAAATTAATTGAAAGTGGTACGGTGAACTAACTCAGACGCGCTGAATAGTCTCTCATTTCAGATTTAAGCTCTTGCAAACCAGCTTAATTAATTTGACCCTCTCAACATCGATCGTACATCGACTTTTTATCCCTGCAATTTATTCAGTGTGATCGAGACCTTTCGCAAGCTACTTTTACAGTGATATCTATGTGAAACGTTAGTTAATTTAATTTCATGCGCAAATTAACTGAACAATCGTGTTAATTTCCTGGCGAGGAATCAAAACAAAAACCAGTAAATTAACGCGCGAAATCAGCATGACGACTAATCTCCCATCCTAGCAGTGTGAGGTCGATCTGAGCATGCTTGTTAATCATTCATGCTTGACAAGGAGGGAACATTCAGGCAAGGACATATGCAGGTCCATTGCCCAAATCAGTCGCTCTCGCAGTCAGGCCCATATAAATACTCCCTCTGTTTCGTTTCATATTGTAACCTGTTTTAGCTTATGGACTAAGTTAAATTTCTCTAACTTTAACTGGATTTACAGACAAATACACTAGTGTCTATAACATTATATAAGTTGTTTGATATTATATTGTTACTATAAACTCTACCAAAACCGGAGAATTTTGATTTAGAAAAAAAAAACTAAAACAACTTACAATATATAATAGAGAAAGTAGGCATCGCACCCTGTTACATCACTAGACGAATGGACGACCGATCAATTCCGCGATGATTGTTGGGCTGGCCTACCCCGCATCAACGACAACACTGTAACATGAAGAATGGAATTTATTATTTTTATGCCTTTTGGTTCTTAATATTAAAATAATCCTTTCATACTCTTATTTCAAAAATATATGTTGCAATCACAGGATTTTGGCAGAATAATTCAGTCGTGCCAAGCTCCATAGTGCAACTTCGTCATTGTTCATGGCGCCACCGCGAGAGGCGTGGCAAAATCTTTGCCATGCCATGATTTTTTCTTATCAGTGTGATAGCATTGGCCTGCCATACCAATTAAACTCGCACAATAATAAAAGTATGAGATGTACAAATTAAATAAGTTTTCTAGTTAGAGAAATAATTTAGAAAATGGAAGGGTGGCTAGTCGACGGGCAAGCTATTAATTCGTTCAAGAATCAGACATATGATCTATAGATATCTAGCTAGAGAAAACGATATAAGGAAAGTTTGGCAAAAATAATGAGTGATTAAGGAGATAGAGGTATGTAAATAGTAGCACGGAGGGACCTATTCATTAGGCGAGGTAGGTTGGCTGGTCCAGCTACATCCCGCTTCGGCCCACATCCCCAAGAACATCCTTTTAATACCAAGCTGCCTATATTAACCATCACCCAACATTCCATAAACAACCCATAAAATAGATAATTAAAGTATATCCTGACCATGTATGAGACAATCAATAGTTGTTTCATCTTTTGGATTTTGTGACTATATATATACCCCTTCGTCTCGAGCATGTCCACTTCTTTACGCCAATGACTATGCCAGCCATCCGGTAGGCGTTTGTCATATGCCTCTATCCCGTCCGCTTGCATTGTATACTGTAATATGGTACCCGCCTATCCCGTATCCTAGAAAACAGTCGGCATGGATAAGCGACTCTGGTATTATTAATTATACTATATTTGGTATGTTGAATGTTCCTTTTTTATCTTAATTTGGTGATTGTTCTCTACTTTTTATACGATTGCAATGTAAATATGATATAGTTGTGTTGTGTTTGGTTATTTTTATCGAATATCTCTAGTCCATCCTTATTTTATAGAGAAAATCAAAACAATTTCATCAACAGAAGCTTCAATCCAAGAAATGGCACTGACGAACCCAACTTTCCGGAAATGCCATCATAGAAGCGTCTTTGTTCCAAAAATATCATCACCGTTAGATTTTCGTTAGTAGCCCTCTGTTAAGTACTATAAAAAAGACAATTTTACCCCTACAAAATGCTGAAAGCCCATTAAACTTTTGCTCTTCCAGTCAACCTATAATAATTTATAATAATTTAGTGTAAAGAACAACCTATATATTAGTGTAAGCTTATGAAAAGAGCAAAAGTTTTAATTTACTTTTTAGCAATTCGTAGGGGTAAAATGGCCTTTTTGTAGCACTTAACGAAGGGGTGCTAACGGAAACATAACGACGATAGTATTTCTAGGGCAAAGACGCTTGTACAGTGGCATTTCTAGAAAGTTGGTTTCGTCGACACTACTATGTAAAACATTTTTCCGTGCAGTCAAAATGATTTTTCCGTGCAGTCAAAATGATTTTTCCGTGCGGATGATTTGTCCGTCTACACCCAAGTGTCTGGAAAAATCAATATTTTCGTGTGCGGATGGGCCAACCGTATGGGATACACGGGATAATCGATTATCCTGTGCGGTCAAATTATTCCGCCCGCACGAAACAAAAAAAAAAAAAAGCGGAAATCGCCGGCCCGCACGCAACCGGCCGCCGCAACTCGTCGGATCTGGGCGGGGCCCGCTCGCCGCCGCCTCGCTAGTCGTCACCACGCCACGCTCGCCCGGTCGCCGTCGTCGCCGTCGAGCCCGCCTGCCGCGACGACGAAGGTGAAGGTGGCGTTGTTGGGCCGCTGCGGGGAGTTCGGGCGGCAGATCCAGCGGACGACGGAGGCGGCCTCGCGGACGCGACGGCGCGAGAGGAGGTGGCCCAGGAGCAGCGTGGCGAGGGGCAGCGGCGAGGGCGTGGAGAGGGTGGTTGTGGATGGCGGTGAGGAAGTGGCTGGCGGCGGGGACGTTCCCCGCAGAGACGACGACGACGTCCGCTGCCTTGACGACGCCCGCTCGCTGCCTTGACGACGCACGCGACGACGGCACTGTCATTGACGGAGCCGAGCGACGACGTGCACGACGAGGACGACGACCAGGAGGAGGTCTCGCTGCCTCGTCCGGTCGCCGCCGCACCCGGCCGCCGCCATCACCGGCCCAACAGAAGGGGAAGGGGGGGAGGAGTTAAGGTGGGGAGAGGTGTGGGGAATCTGGGTGTGTGGCTAAGAAAGGAGAATAAAAGGAAGAGATAAGGTAGAGAGAGAGAGGGGAGTGGTTGAAGGAGAAAAAGGGAAAAAATGATGAGAGAGGATGTGAAAATTTTGAAGTGAGTGGGAGGGAAGGAAGGAGGTATTTTTTTCATACGGTTCACTTAAAAAGCCCACACGCGAAAATCGATTTTTCCCTACGGTCCTCTTAAGTCGACCGCACGGGATAATGAGGATTATCCCATGCGGTCGGATTAGGACGCCCACACGGGAAAATCGATTTTCTCGTGCGGGCGATATCTCGCCGCCGGTCCCCTTATTTTTCCATGCGGTTCCACGTACAGACCGCATGGAAACAAAAGGGGGCGGCGTCCATGAAAATATCTATCCTGTTCTAGTGCGATGGCATTCATTTTCTGGAGGATGCTATGTCTGTCACTAAATAGTAGTTGTATTTCTTCTAGCCAATGGTTGTTTGCATATACGTCGCAGTCCCTTGGATCAAGTAGGCAGCTAGCTAGCACGTCTGTGGTCACCATTCGTGGGTTGCTAGGATACGTCGCCGTCTCACACGCTGCGCGGTCACCGTCTTCCTCGATCGGCGCCGTCGGGACGTCGCTGCGCGCGCGCCCGCGAGAGAGAGGCTGCGTACGTCGACGGCCAGTGGCGTGCCCACGTACAACTTACTGGTGTCACAAGACACCGGATAAAATTATTAAATTCTAACTTTTATGCTATTTTGATTAGTATACTAGTGAATAATTAGATGACTACTATATAGTGGACCTCGGGTAATTTTTTTTCTAGGTTCGCCACTGTCGACGGCGAAGTGAAACTGATGGCCGGCAGGCACAGGCGCCGCTGATCGGTCACCCTGTAGGTTCACGACCAGCCGACCACGTGGAATAGAAACTGGCCGGGAGCCAAGCTAGGTCTCGTTATTATCAACTGACGGCGACGACTGCCACTTGTACGGTTGATGTGGGTTGACACTTGATTAATAATTGACAGCAGGATTACTTTGTCTCTGGGAGACGGCTGTTTTGTGGCCAAGATTCCAAAACCTTCAAGATGAAAATATTGTTGCTAATTATTCTTGGTAGTTGAGGATGATTTGTTTTTTTCCCTTCAGATTAGGACCCTTTGTTTGTCTTATTTGAGCAGTAATACTTACATGGATCCGGAAAAGCTACCTGGCGCGTATGCGCCGGCAATACACACGTGGCACGGCGGATTTCCTTTTTTCCATGACTTTTTTTCCCCGAAGACGAGTATATCTAATGTAACTAATCTGTTAGTTTTAGATAATGACGATAATAAAAATAAGATTTTTCTTTTTAAAGATTTTTTGAAGTAACAGATTGAAAAGAAATATATACGTGAAGTTAAAGTTTGAAAACTTTCAACCCAAATTTAAAAACTTTCAACTCGAAATTTAAATTTTTTGAAGTCAAAATTTGAAAACTTTCAACTTTTCATCTCAAATTTGAAAAACTTTCAATTCAAATTTGAAAACTTTCAACTCGAGATTTGAAACTTTCTTCAAATTGAAAACTTTCAAGTTAAAATTTGAAAATTTTTGATTCAAATATTTTTAAAAACACGTATGCTAGCGATTAAAAAAGTCGGAAAAACACGAAAAAAAGAAAACCCGTGAGGGGAGGGAAAGCGAAAAAAAGATAAACGAAAATGATGGCAAAAAAAAAAGAAAGAAAACGTGAAAAAAAAAAGAAAGCGCCAGCGCGTGGCAGGCGCTAGTTGGCGCGGGCGCCAGTTCCGTTACTAGCGCGCAGGCGCCAATTAGCTAGCAGCCCCCGTACAGATCGGGTGAGGGGAGGATTGGAGTATCCTCTACAGTTATTCAAAATTATATCCTATAAAACACCTTTTGAAATCTCTAGTGAGGATTTAAGAAATAATAGATATATTTCTCTTCAAGAAATAGTCTATACTTGACTCCTTAAAGCCTAGGCCACCTCCAAATTTACTATCAAAGTTGTTGATCTCCGCTCCCTCCGTGTGCGCGATTTGGTCATGGTGGACTGAGAGCCAATGATGTCCAACTAATTAATGAAGAGAAGATGAAGGGGATTTCAATTTTTGAGCAGTTAATTAGGGGAACTGTTAGATCCAACTTTTCACCAATAATCCCTAAATTTTAAAATGAAAACAAGTCGGTGATGCTCTTAAATAGGTAAGGTCGAGGAGGGGTTGTTTGCAGGCATGGGTAGACCCTTAAAGGTGAGCCACTAATATTGTTTTTTTAATTTGCAATATTTTTATATTAAATACTCGATGTAGTAAAATTTGCCCGGGTTTAAGAATTTTTCTGGATCCTCCGTAGGGTTAGAGAGACTGGAGCACTGGCCCTAGCGTAACGGTAAGTTCTGGTTAACAATGAATAGATTTACTTAATGCGTGAATTAACAAAGCTTGGCCGAATGACATAAATCTAGTTATGTGGGTCTTATTAGAAATGAAAGAAATAGCTTAACTACATGGGTGAGGCAGGCGTTAGCTTCACCCTTTGAACATCTCATTTACTCTCTCTAGCTCTCGACTTGGTCAGTCTCTTCATTGCAGAAGAATAACATCTTGCCAACGCCAATGGCCACTCCTAGTCGTCGTTTCGTTCCCCGTCCGTTCTTCGCCAACGCCGGCTGGCAAGAACGTTCTTCAGCCGTCAGAGCTGGCTAATATGTGCAGAGCATGCTACACACATGTACTTAATTTCTGCTAGTCTTTGTTCTTTGACTTCGAATAAGTGATTGTTGATCATCAATCGGCTATCGGTTAGAGTCAAAGAGATCGGCCATGTGTGATCGAACAGAAATTGATTAGTCCTTTTTTAACCCAAATGTCCATTCAGTTCGGATAAAAAAAATTGCGACATCAAATTAGTGAAATTCTTAGTTATATTCAGATTTCAGAGATTTGGAGATTCAAAGTTGCAGCATGCACGAACTCGTGATTATTTGTACTCAAACGGCTGTTGCAAAGAGTAATATTATGAGCCTACTTTTATCTATGATCATTGATCGAACATTTACAAGTAGTTGTGGCCGGTTCAATTCATACAGTTCAAAACAATTGAACTGGCAGTTTAACTGGTTTATAACAGCCGTACAAATGAACAACTGAACCAGTGAACCGACGCTATGCTCTAGTAGAGAAATTTTCAGGCAGAGCCATGGAAACGGACGGGTCGGGCCGCACGCCCTCATGGGACACTTTATCCAGCCCATAAATGTTTCCTTAGTGGGCCTCCCTTCACGGGAATGGCCTGCGAAATAAGCCCAAAGATCTTGTACGGTTAATCCGTGTCATTAGTTCTCTCAATTTTCTCAAATCCCATTCTCATGAAATCAAATGAACAAACCATAAAAAAAAATAGGATTTCCTCCCAACGAGTATTTTCTTAGCTGAGCCTTAACGGGCGACGCCGCCGCCCGTGTCCCCGATGGTTGGGCCAAGCCTTGATCGAAAAATGCAGACGACCTCAAATGGGACATCCTGTGAATCTTCATGTGTCCTAACCTCCACAAGACGATGGCCTTTTTTGGGCTTTAGGTTTTCTACTTTTGCTAAGTTCTCAACTTCGTTTTTCACTCACACATTTCCCAACCTGCTAAAAGATAGGAGTACATCTTTTGAGAAAAATAAGTTGATTCAAAAAATTAAATTAATTTATTTTAAAAGAAATAGTGAATACTTAATTAACTATGTGCTAATGTGTTATTTTGTTTTAGGTGCGTAAGAGATTTGTTCCCAAAATAGCGAGGAATAAACGCAGCCTGACAGTGGCAATCCACTGTACCAATCAGAGGTCGGCCATTTATACACATGTGTAGCTACCGTTGTTGGACGGCTGGGTTTGTCTCCCCACCTTTTTCGTTGCCTTTACTAACACTATTTTTATGTCAACGCGTGTATGGACGAATTGGAAATTTGGATTAAATACACCCCAACTGCCCGAAAATTGTGTGTGTGATGTCAGCAATGAGTTTCTTGGCCGGATCTTCTACGGATTCTTTTCCTCTGGTCCAATTTGGATTAATGTTAACTCACGATTCAATGATCTCATTTTCTAGAAATAACTCGATGAAGCACCAACTCATTTCAGCTTAAGCTTACAATCTTTGCGTTTGTTTAAGAACCGACTCCATGTATCCCTTTGAGAGGAGAAAACATACTGTGCAAAACGGACAACATTGCCAAAGTTTGTTACTACCTTTTGTTTTGGTTTTTTTTAATGGTTCGTAAAACAAAACAAGCTATTAGCGCGTGATTAATAGAGCTGAGTTACAATAAATTTGTAATTTTGATTTTTTTTCTCTCTTAAAGAAATTTTTTAACTAAACATATTGTTTAATAGTTCTAAAAGCGTACTCATTTTTTTTTTTAAAAAAAGGGAAACAGCTGATCTTTAGAAGTCAGTCAGCCTTGGACAGCATATGCCAGCCGGCCAGCCACACCGATGCCCAGAACCAACCTTGGATTCACAGGATCGGACACTTCTATAGACCATGCTAGTATTGGAGTAGCAAGCTACGAACAGATCGGTCAAACTGGACGGAACAAACAAAGCACCAATAGCAAACAAAACGAGGGAAAGAAAAAAATGAATGGACACAGCGTCAGTGTGTATAAATAAGCCCCAATATTATCCCCCTTTCAGCCACGCCCCCATCGCCACCACAAAGTCATCGTGTTCGTCGTCGTCGTCTCTTCTGCTGCATCTGGAGAGGAGAGGAGAGAAGCTTGGGCGAGCGAGCGAGCATGTGCTACCAGGTGAAGTGCGGGACGTGCGGCAAGTCCACGTGGGCCGGGTGCGGCCGCCACGTGGCGTCCGTGCACAGCCAGATCGCCGACGGCCAGCACTGCGCCTGCCGCGCCTGGCCGGGCGTCGCCGACAAGGCCGCCGCCGCCGCCACCGACGCCGCCGGCGAGGCCCCGTCGTCCAGCCTCTGCGCCATCATGTGACTTTCGCCGCCACCGAATAAACATCCGCTCGCCGTCGTCGTCGTCTGCGATTTGTGCTTGTGTAGTAGTATCGGGTTTCAATTAATGGAAAAATCTTTTGTTCGTTTAACCACTTGCGTGATTAGTCCCTGTGAATTGTATGCTCCATTCTATTCCGTTATAAATGGATTTCAGGAGTACTCAAAACCATGTGAAAATTTCTGTGCCTTTTTTCCAGTTGGTTTACACCGTATTCAAAGCTTCCCCGTATGTCTGAACTCTGAAACATCATATGCCCCCCAGCAAACAGAAGCGCAAGAAACTGGTTTAATAAATTTTAAAAGAAACCAGATAACTGCATCACCAGGTTGTGGAAGACAGTAGTAGTATATGACCAAAAGTATCACCAATCAATTGAAGAATCAGAACTTTTGTATGGCCAAAAGGATCTGACACAAGTTGCTCAGGCACTAGTTAAAACTTAAAACAAACAAAATTTTACCCTAGCAACTAGGACAGATGGCGCTCTCTTTCATTTCTATGCTTCTTTTCTTTTATATGCATCTCTATGCCTTTTTTTTTTGTATATTCATTTGTATGCTTCTTTGGTCACTGTATGTATGTCCTATCTGCAAAACTTATGCAGTTTGCGGATTTACATCGGCGGAGGGTCCAGCGGGCTGTGGTGACAGGCCTCTCTTCTGTAACCTGATGATGGAACTGAGCGACCTCACTGCATGCCGTAGCCGGTTTACAGGGAGTCCTTCCAGTGTAGGGTGAGAAATGTCACTGGTTGTGGGTTGGTTGGTGTCTTCTTTGCAGCTAGATTCACCGGAACTTCCGCTTGCATCTGCATCTCTGTCAACGTGAACTCCTTTCAGAGGTATGTCGTCAGTGTCAGCAAACTGGCAGTAAGCAGAATGAAGACGGTGGTGAATGTCATCCATTCTTCCCGATTGCTCGTCCTCCCTGTCCATGTCAATTAAATCCTATGTAATAGAAAGAGAGAACTAATGTAAGAGATTTCATTTCAGGTAGCCAGGGATAATGCTTCGACATAGGACTTTTTGGCATTTGCAGAAGAGAAGTGCAAGATATGTACTCTCAGTAGAGAGCACATAAATGTAAACTGGCAAGAAGTTTAGCGTAAATCCCTCCAAGAATATATAAAGGTGAATTCATACTAACCTGTGCAGGGAGAGTCTTGAATAATGGCCGAAGACGATTGCTGCAATACTGGTTGAATAAAAGAGTGAGGATGATGAGAGGTACAGTGAAGCCTGCAGCTACTGGGGATTCTTTAAGCCCAAAGACACCAAGACAGATGATCTGGGTGAGCACAATAGAGAAGATTGTTGTATAGTGAGCAATCGGCCAATACAGACCACCTGTGTCGTATTTCGTGCAATAAACATTGAGGAACTGCAAATGAAAAAAAGTTAACCCATTAGATTGTAGGAACGGTTACGTCAAAAAAAGATTGCAGGAACGGGGAAAAGAAGCACAACAGACCAATCTTTCACAAAACTTTGCACTCTGAGAATTTACATTCATGAACCAGGAAACAACAATTTACACAAAATTAGAAGCATGTATATGTAAAATGCATCAGTTGCATTTTCACCTAAAAAGTACAAATGCATAAGCACTCATACCAACTTCCCATAATTAGTTAGTCTGGTCATCTTCACTATAACTAAGGTTCAACAAAATTCATAATCACAGATAATTTATTGATTTGGAATCAAAATTTAATCTCTAGTTTCTCACCTGGTTGCGGTACACAACATAACCAAGAAAAAAGTACACCAGTAAAAAGGGCAAGATGAGAGGTGCTAATACAGAGCATGTGAATCCCAGTAGTCCAAACAACAGAACTTTTGGCACTTCAGTATGATAGGGAAATGACGGGACAAAGTAGCTATCCTCTTTCATTCTCAAAACATACTTCATTATAAAGTTCCATGTGAGACCAAAGAGTTGCATAAGTTCTGATGATAAACTAGCCCAACCAGAAGTCAGTACATAGGTGGTAAAGAATGTAGCCTGAGACAAATAAAAACAGTATTAAAAAATTATAGTAAAATTGAACAACACTATTAACAAATCAACAAGTTGTATATGCGTAACAGAAATACTTGCTGCATCCTGATAGCCAAAATAAGTGAGCATGCAATTCACCTGTACAGGTACCGCTCTAGCAAGCACCATAGGAATGTCCTTTGGGCTTGATAACGCATTCACTTGGCTAATTGCAGAACCTGATAGGACATTCACAAAGAATACATTCCAAATAGTGAAGTATAATACTTTACAGCAGGCACTTCTCTTCCTTTCACTGTGGGACACGGGTCCTTCTAATGTAGAAAAAAACATCATGGTTGGGGGAACAGTGTATAAAAATATTTGCAAGATGACACTGGGAAGGTATCCGGTCACTAGCTGGGTTATGTACTTCCTGCAAGAGAAATAGACATTTTTATGTTCCTCTACAAATGAATAAAGGAATAAAATAACATGCCAGAAGATAATACTGTGCGTGCAATAATTATAATGTTACCTCAACTTTAAAGCCTAAAAAACAGATTGAATGTTGCATGGCAACACAAACAAAGATACATGGAAGTGCTAACTAGCATCAAGGGAACTAACAGTGACCCACCCCTGAGAATGTAAATCCATCCCCCAAAGTAGTAAATATTCAGCGACAGTAGAAGCATCCCCCAAAGTAGTAAATGCGTCCCCTGTGACTTGTGACTGTAAACAGACAGGGGACGCCCTGAGCACCAAATAGTAGATCTAGAAAAATGTATATGTTACTATAATAAACTGCTAATGGAGAAGAAATCGGTAATGACAGCAAGTCTACCTCCCAACCCTGGACTTCCAGATTTCACATGGAAAGGTAAAAAATGACATAATTATCACATATATATGATGTAAAAATGTACTTTCACATAGCCATATCTCTCCAATCAAATAAGGTAATAGTTAGGGTACATAAACACATCCAAGTAATCTCTGACATGCTCGATGCGAAAATCAATCTTTTTTTTTTCTTTATGACACCTAGCAAAGAAGCAGTAGGTAGGCATTGAGCGTTTAGATTACTTACTTTTTTAATATGCCATTTAGGAAAGGGAGCCTTTGCTGCAGCTGCTCCAACTGAGTTAGACCTTGTATAAATGTCACAGGTATGAGAAACAGGAACATAAAAACAATAGAACCCGAAAGTGTAACTATACGGCGAATCCAAAGCTGCTTGTAGGGTAACCAAAGATTTGACCAATATACGTCATCTCGATCTGGAGCAAGACTAGTAACCCATTCCATAGGATTGGATGTCTGAACAATTTCTGATACGACCAGGGCTGCATACCGAGTTTTGAAAAATACAAAAGCAGCACCACAATCCTGCATTCATCTCCCAAAAAAAATTATTGTTTTAGGCTAATTTATTCAGAACAGTAAATAACCAATTTTATTGCCAGTTTGACCTTATCAGGTAAGCTCAACTCTGAATCTTTCACATCATGTTTTTTCATCTCTTGCTCAGGTTCAACAGGCAGCAACTCGAACGACTTTGATGAAGCTCCACAAAGACCACATCTATATGTAATTGGTCCGCATCTCTGATCAACTGTGGTGCCCTTGAAATGTTTAAATTTCTTATAAGCCTTCTTTGCACCAGTCTGCCAAAAAAAAAACAAAATTACCACTAGAAACAGGGGAAATATATGAAGATGCAACAAACGTATTGATTCAAAGATCTGAAAAAAAATCCCTTTCCAGATATGGGACAAAAGTTATCACTACAAACAGGGAAAACATAAAGATACATCAAATGTGTTCATTCAAATATCTATGACTATGATCAATCAATAATTCTCTTTTCATATATTGGACAAAGTATCATGGAGCAACAAACCTACACTATTAATTTGGTCTGTTAGCAGATATACATTTTAGTTATGCGACGGCATCTATCACATGAATTAAAAATTTGAGTGCCATCTATTCAAACTAACCACCAAAAAAGGAATTACATTTGCAAAGGGCGTGGTGAGCAAAAGCACTACAAAATACAAAGATTGTGCACAAGAACTTAGCAGAAGTATTGAGAGTTTTCTAGCATGCCAAGTCAGGAGAGGCGCTGATACTGAAGGATATGAATGTTCAAGGGGACAGGCCATAAGCAATATGCACAAATGACCTAGGTCAAAATAGTGCACAGAACTTCTAAATGGCTGTACCAAGTTCTTATTGTAGTCCCGATTTATCTGATTAAACAAAGATCTTGTGCTCTAGAAAGCTACAAAGATTCTGCATACTGGAAGTAAAAAACATAATGTCTAACTGACAAGTGTCCAAGACCGTACCTGCTAATCTTTAACAAAACTAGGGATCAACCTAGCAGGAACTAGGGAACATTGTACTAACAAGAAAATTGGCACCCAAATTTGCCTCAACAAGGAATCGGAATTGGGTGGTCTAGGCGTACATCCACACCATCGACCAACTGAGCTAGGCTCAGTTCCTCACTAGCCAATCCTGGATGTATTTTCCTATGTAAAAACCTTTGCAATCCAATTGTTAGTGAGATATTTTTCTCAAAAGAGTTGAGAATAACCAGTTAACCACACATCCACAACCATCACATGTTTGCAACCATATGCCCTACCACTCAGCTAGAGGCTTCAGGCAGTCCTCTAACAGTACATCAGTGCTTATCAACTGATTGGACTAACGATAAAAAACAAGCAGATCCTAGTACTGTTATGATGCAGTGTGGGAATAAATAATCTCTAGGTATCATCTGGGAGACCCAAATTCCCTGTTCATCCCATGGACAGGGCAGGATTATAGTGCAATTTCTCGGTCTTCCACAGGGATAGGTTGGAATTTTGGGTTTCCCAGACAAGGCCTTAGGAGACTAATAACCAAATAACTAAACATTTTCATCCTGTTTCTCACTGGCAGCGTCATTAAATTTCCTCATTTGGAAAATTTACACAATTAATTATTGCAGTATTACTTACCACAATCTTCTGAAGTTTCCCGACTTTATAAATAATCTGATGAGAAAGGTAACTCGACACATGATACTTGGTGAAGAAACTCTCAACAGTGCAACTAATTGATTCTTTAGTTGATTTTGGTACTCCACGAACAAGCACAGTAAAATGGCTAGGATTGGTCGATGCTCGAGAAACATGAAGTAACCTCAGCCTAGCAATATGCTTGTACTCCTAAAGGAACCACATAAAAAATAACATAAATCATAAATCAGCTAGTAAGGTCTAAAGATAAGATTAACTAACATTTATGAACTATTGAAAGATCAAATGACTTGATCTTACAAGGTATAGAAGAAGGCAAGCCACACCAGATATGATGTACAGTGCAACACAATGGACCCAGAGCCTGCAGTTATAGCCAATGTGTAAAAAGAATCCAAGAGGTATCTATGACTTTCTATAATGTATGCCTAAACAATTCAGTTATCAGTGCATGCAATAAACGTGAACTAGTTACTTCAGATTGCACATAACACCACACCAGCAGACAGTATAAAATCAGTTACGGACTGAAGATAAATACATAAGATGTTGTATTTAACATTTGAACTCTTAAAGTTCGAACATAATCATGTAAGAGAGGCTCCATAGCTCACCATCTTGATCTCTCTTGCATATTTCCAATTGTAAATGTCTCCAATGATGCTGAAGGAATCCGTACATGGAGCATATCTTGTCCAAAATAATTCAGTGGAAGAACTCCAAGTACACAAAGGAAAGCGGCTAAGGAGAATATGCGTATGCTATTGAAAAGAAAAACACATAAGCATATCTTGGATATAAAACCAAAATTGAAGACTTAAGTAATATAGTGAGAATGCAGTAGGCAAATGAATACATATAAAGTAATAACTTTATGTGGCATACCATGTGAGACCCCGATGAATGTTGGTATGCACATTATCAACTTTGGCATAAGATTTTTTATTATCATTAACTTTTTTGAAGTTATTTGATTCCCATATTATTTTGTGTTTTTTTTTACCTATCCTATTTGACAGAGGAAATGACTCATCATACCAGTCAACAATTAGAGATTAAAAACCACTAGTTTAAATAATCGTATTTAGCTTGATTTTCATTTTCAAAGCGCCACGGCGAACCTTTTAAGTGAAAGTATAAGTTGATTCCTGATGGTCTAAACTCTCAAGGCACACAAAGAAACAGCATAAAAAGAAACATCTATATAAACTTCAAATAAGATAAAAAATATTAAAGTGGAACAGAGAATCAAGTAATTGTGTACATACCTAAATACAAGAATCCTATTGAAGACAACTGCATCCAACCCAGCAGTAGCTAAGAGTTCATCCTCCGTGCATCGAAGACTTCTCAAAATCCAGCTAGCGGATGGAACAAATCTCTCCAAAATAAAAGCCTCCCTGAGCCTACTATTCTCCTCAGCAATCCTTCTTCCAAAATAGACCTTAACATTTTGCGGTTGCTTCCTCAGAACGGAATACAGTGACAAAAAAAGTATACAGAGGCTAATGTTGATTCCAGCTGAGGTCAAAAGAGCGCCGACTTTCATCTCTGTCTTATGTCATCTAAATGCAACAAACTTCGTATCTCCTTTAATTCTGCAGGAAAAGATTGGAAGTTCAGGTTTGACATACAAGAAATCATGAGAAGAGCATGCACGCTAAAAAAACAGCACTGCAAGCCATCCTTTGGATTTCTTCAAGGTTACAAAATGTATGATGCAGAAGCATATTTGAGGCAGCTAACTAAAGAGTAGCATGGGCTATTTTAAGGAGATAAAACCCTAATACCTTAATAAGACATGGAATACACTTAAGCATGCCATCAAGAGAAAAAACTTCAAAAATCTTGGAACAGGCATCACGCAGGGACAGATTTTGATTTGTACCAGAACAATAAGCCAGACTAAAATCAGGACACCCGTATACTAATGTGAATAGTTCACAACTCAGACCTGGTCCAGACTCAAATAAAATACAAACAAATATATTTCATATGGTTAACCGCTTACTCTACCAGGAAAAATGTTCTGTCCTTATTCAAACTGGTTTATCTTTGTCCCTAAAATGGCAGTATAAGAATGTTAATGAAGACGGTGAGTAGAATTTTCATGCATGGAAGCAGAGCAACCACACCTAAATGCAGATCAAGCGAATTACGATATTCTGTCTTCTTTAGATTAGAATAAAATATATCCAGGAATCAGGAGAAGTGTGCTGCCAGGTTGGTTAGGGAGAAGAACTTTGGTGTGAAATTATGTTTAAATGAGGCTCAATGTGATGAAATTTGAATTATGAACTACTGTCTATTCAATACCAAGTTGTTATCTGATTAATCATTCATAAACTTTTCTATCAAGGTAAAGCAATGAAGTAGAACTTGTTCAGTTTTTTTTCCTGGCAGAAAAACAGTGGTATGAAGGTTCTGAAAGGCTAGTAAGTGGGTATTCGTACGCTACAGATCACCCACTTTCTCCTTAATACCATTAACATGGAAGTCCTTCCTTTCATATCCAGCTTTTTACAGGTCAGCCACTTCGTAGCAATTATACAAGCCTAAAAGACCGCTTATGAGGCCCAATTAGCTACTACTCCTTGAATATGCCCTAATTAGCAATTATTGGTAACAGGTTGGGCACCCTTTCCTTGTATACAGCCTTGTAGACCTTCCTTTAGAAAACCAAATGGACCCACTAAAAATTGAAATGAGGGCCTGGAAGCAAATTAGTTCAAGTAGCCCTGCAGGCTGATCTCCTATGTCTCAGATTGTTGCATTAATATTGACGAGCTATGAAATTCATTGTCCTTTCGTTTCTATTGTCCTTTTTTTTCCTTCCATTATTTTAAAGATAACGCGGAACTCACCTCACCTTTCAAATACACCAAGTAGATCTAAAAGAAGCTATTGAGCCAAGGCAAGGAGGATTTGTTCTCAGTATACAGCCAGAGCAAATGTAAGTGGCTAATAAACAAAGCACTCAGATACGATTTGCAAAGAAAGATGGCTGGAAAGGCATGAGAAAGTACAAAATGGAATATCTGACAGATCTCATGGGAGGCATGAAGAATCTTAAAGAGAGAGAAAAGAATTTTGTCAGTATGGTACAAAGACAAGAACTAATCTCGATTCCACTACCCACAAAGGACGTTTTACACTTTGGAAGGCCGGTAACCGTTTCAGAATTCATATTATTCTCTCAGCATCAAAAGGCTGCTTTTGTCCTCCTCTTTTTAACTAAAGATAAAGAACAATCCATCAACTGTCAGAGTTTAATAATAAGCCTTCTAGTTCACTCAAAGTAAAGGCAACAATATCCTGCAGGCATTTCATTTATCCGCTGTCTTAAACGCTAGGATTAGAGCAGCCAATCTTAAGAACTCATACATCCCCCAAATGCATCGGAAATTCAAAAACTAAACACGGTTGTCGCAATCTCCCACCGGCCCCTGGTGAATCTACTGGGCAATACAACAACACTACGCCGTCAGATTCCAGATAGATGAACACAAAGCCGCCTCCTACTCACAAAAGAGACAGAAAACTTGCCCGTCGCGACGCGCGCCGAAAAAATCCCACCAATGCCCCCCGGCCGCGCCTCCTCAAAACCCCTGCACCACTTACAAACACCGAAAAAATAGATTCAGATCACACGCGCACGCACACAAAAGGAGACTAGAACAAATCCGCGAGGCGATCGGAGGGCAAAAACCACCTCCACTTCGCCAGTCGACCACCGCCGCCGCCGACGCGCGATCGGGATTCGCCGGGGGGGATCGGAGAGATTTCGAGAAAGCAATGTGTGGTGGGAGATTTGCGATTTGGTGGGGGGTTTGGGTTGGAAGTTTCGATCACAAGGAAGAAGAAGAGGAAGAAGAAGGAAGGCAGAGAGACGAAAAGGGAAAGCGACGAGAAGAGTGGGAGAGGAGAGGGAGAGTAGCAGTGGGAGCTAGAGGAGTTGTCAAATTTGTCAAAAGAAAAATATTCCCAAAAATAAATAATTCGAAGTGGGAGGAGGCCGGTGGGGTGGGCCCACTGCGGATTGGGGTGGGTGCCACGTGGCGGAACAGCAGTGGTCGAGTTGAGTCGGGGACCCACCGGATGCAGGGGCATATCCTCGTGCCACGCTGTATGTGCGGGAGTTAATTTGACAAGATTTAGTAGTTACTCCATCATCATGGTCCTTGTTAAAACTCCATCATCATCTTTGCTTTGCTCCTTTGCTCAACTAGGAAACGGTGAATATCCAAAAAGTTTATTTACATATACACAGCATATTAGCATGTACAAACTCAAATATATGGTACTGGTATTCAGTAGGGAGGGAATAAATGTTCTTGTGGAAATTATATCATGCCACATTAGTAGGTGGTGTTTGAATCTCCTGAACATAAATAATAATATGTGATTAATTGTTTTAATTATTACAAACCTGAAAAATGGATTAATCTGATATTTTAGAACAACTTTCATATAAAAAGTTTTCGCACGAAACGCATCGTTTAGCAGTTTGAAAAGCGTGCCACTTTAATTCAAAATTTAATACACTCTTTTAAGTGGATTCGAACGCAGCCATAGTTTAGGTGACTCTAAGGAGGTGAAAAATATTGATAGAACAAGAAAAAATTACATGATCACAATGGAGAATCACTCACTCGGATTAGGTGTTTGGCTAAAAACATTAGCTCTAGATCCTAATGAGAGGACTTGAAGATAATATTACCCCTTTATGTACTAAGAAGTCCTGAGATTAATATAGATATCTTCTAGGTTAATGTAATACTAATATTTAGGCTACAATTAGCAGCTGAGAATTGAGAGAAGATTTCTCTCGTTCTTCACGTGCACGCTTCCCAAACTACTAAGCGCTATATTTTTTTGCAAAAATTCTATAGAAATGTTATTTTAAAAATTATATTAATCAATTTTTCAAATTTAAATAGTTAATGCTCAGAGCCTCATCGATTCCCCTAATAAGCCTAGGCCAAAGCCAAAATTTGACTTTTCAAAATTAAGTTGATTTAAAAATATTTTTAACGTATCTTTTTCACCCTTGGCTTTTAAGTCGCTAAAAACATGTATATAAAAGTTTTATTTATAAATTAAATTTTTGTTCCCTAATAAGTGTTTTGGCTATGGTAACCGATGAGGGCCTCAATTAATCATGCGTTAATGGATCACCTTGTTTTATGTATTTTCTCAATCTTCTCTTTTCCTCTTCTCTCAAATGCGGCCTTAGTATACTTACAAATGTGTGCAAATATTCCAATACAATTACTACACATGTCCCATATTAAGTTTATTTTTGGTCCTCATCATTTTTCTTAAAATAAGTATTTTAATAATCGTTGCATCGGAGTTTGTGAAAGTAGAAAATAATTACATTGGGAGTAGATTGTAACATCCTCAAATTTTAAACTAAAATTTGACTGCATCATGCTGGCTTTCGATTAAATTAGTGTGTTTTAAAAATCTATTTGATTCTTAATTGGTTCAAGTATTACTTCCTTGGAACCCTATTAATTTACCCTAATTATTTCCTTTATTCCAAACCCTAGTGAATTTGAGCAAATTCTCTCAAATTTCAAACTATAGATTATTTCCTTAGTTTATCTTAATATTAATGAGGATTTGCTATACTTCAAACCCTAGTGAAACCCTTCCAAATTCATAGAACAAATTCAATCCTTTCTAGGAAAATATTCAAAATTCTTGAATTTCACTGTTCATTGCCTTCAAGATGTTCAGCAGAATGCCTAGCCCAACTAACTCAGCCCAATCCCTATCCAATCTTGCACAAAGTCTAGAATTGATCCTAGGGGACCACACCCCACTCAAAACCGTGGCTTTCTTTACTTCTTCCTCCCCTTCACACGCGCCGCTCGGACATCCGACTTAGCCGCGCGCCGTGCCGCCGCGCGTCGGTCTCGGGATCGATCGCGCGTGCCCGATCGCCTTGGCGCGCCGCTAGCCGTTCGACGCCCTCAGACCATCGCCGCCGCACCAATCACGGCGACAACAAAACCGGGATGACAACCGCCACAAGGAATCGCCGCTCGACGTCGTGCGCTCCCGTCCAAGCCGCTGCCGAGTGCGATTTCGCTTCTACCCAGAGTGAATCGCGCCAATTCTTGCCGCACGGTTGGATGAAAGTTAGACGGTGGTTTCCCCTCTCCCAATTCAAACCATTAACCCCCAAGCCGGCCGTTTTAACCCTCGCCGCCGCCGCGCGTCGCGCCCGGATTGGCGCCAACACATCGCCAGCCATTTCTACACACGGTCAAGCCGATCCTTCGCTGGTAAGTATTCAAACATGGCCTCCCGCCACTCAAATTGATCTTGGCCACCCTCTCACAGCCTCTGCCGCCCCAACCATATCCAAAGATCGAGCTCATCCATGGCGATGATGGTGCCCGAGCTCATCCGCTCCTCCTAGCCCTATAAATAGGACCCCAATCCCTTCCTTGTCCATCATCGATCATCAACAACCATAGCCCCACAACCCCGAAGCTCTGCTTCGCCAACCCATTCCATCAACCACCATCGCCCGTCGGTCGAACACCTTGTGCGCGATCGACTCCACACCCCTCCATCCATCTTCCACCCTAAATAATCCTTAGAACACCTTATATCAACCATGTTCTAGCATAATAGACCCTAACCGAAGCCCTGCGTCGAGTTTTACCTCGCCGCACCAAGCCGAGCACCGCCGCCCCGCGCTGCTCTGTTCTTCACCGCTGAGAAGTTTTTCCGGCCGCAATCCTTCGTTTCAACCGATCTCGGTGAGTTCTTCCATTTTAACCATCTACATACTCCCTAGATTCCATTTTAGCAATCACTTTGCACTATCATGTCGCCCTCTGGGTTGCCGACGTGAGCACGGCCGCCGCCTATGGAGGCGCTCGTCGGCAACTACCCTCCGAGCCTTGCCAAAGGTTGGCAAGCTGCCGAAATCCATCTAGGTACCTCGTAGATGCTCTAGGAGCCCTCCCCTAGCCATGTCTAACTCGTACCATCCCAATCGCCTTCACGGCCTAACCGTGCTGCCGCCGCCCTAGCCGCTAGGCCATCCACATATCAAATTAACCCCTCCGTCGTCACTCGCCATCGCCGGAGAACCCTAGCTCCCTCCCCTCCTCAGCCGCAACCACTTTCCCTCTCCATCGCCACAGCAATCGCCAACCCTAGCATCGCCGGCCCGATTTGGGGATCGGCTGGAGGTAGAAGAAGAGAAGAGAAAGAGAGACTGACAGGTGGGGCCCGCACACAGTACCATTTCACATTTATTTGATTTTCAAACTTTAGAAGCCCATATCTTTTAAAATATAAACCCAATTTCAGTGAAACTTGGACCAATATTCTTCTAAAATCATTCTCTATATTTTGAGCCCCTTTTTGCTATTTTTGCATTTTATTTCATTTTCTCCATTTTTCTTATTTTTTTGGATTTTATTTGAATCCCTTTTGAATTTGAATTTTATATGTCTAACCCTAGGTCTTGAAGATTCTTCTGACACACTAGATAATATCAATCAATCTCAGGACATCGAGCAAGGCAAGTTACCATATACCTTTTGATCATTTAAACCTATATTTTACAAATTAGTTATTTATAACCTCCTATTCAATATTCTATTTTCTATGCATAAATCAATTATAGAAACCCAGATAATTTAGTATTGCTTACTTTGCTTACAATTTGGTTAAAATACCTTATACTTAGATTGGGACAGTACGTAAGATTTGGATGATTTCCGGGTGGCTAGTACTGTCTCGATCGATATAAGTTTTACCAGGTACTTATGTCGAACAAACGAGTACGACCACAGTTTCTAAAATGGGGACAGACTTAGTTATTATGTTAATTAGCAATATGGCACCTCTGTATAGTGGTTCTTATTTTTAAGTTAAGTCCTCGTGCAGGAGGCAACTATAGCCGCGAAGGGCAACTTTAACCATTACCATGTACAGGTAAATGATTTGTGATACTCGAGTATAAACTATATGGTATATTTCTAAACCCTGATCGAGATGACGTGGTGTCATACGATCAGTTCCCCCTTAAATACCTCGGGAACGCCAGAACTCATCTTGCTGCTGTTAACAATACGTTCAGAGCATATGAGGATATAAGTTCATGGAACAGGTGCCATAATTGTTAATGACTTAATACTGGGCCATGACTAAAGCCGATGATTATCAACAAGTCGTGGACTGCGGGTAAAGCGTACATCTACTGCAGTAGAATATCTTTGAAACTATTCGAATAGCCGTACTCATGGAGTTGAGTACTGGGATTCATATGGTACCCTGGTTAGAAATCTAAAGTCTATATGTTTTATAAATTCTTGCTATAACTCTTCCAGATTATTTATTACTGCTTTTTGCGAAGAACCCTACTCTATGCTAATGCATAACATATTTCCATGATAACTTGCTTAGTATTATGAATACTCATCCTTGCTCTTATAACCCCTTTTTCAGATCTGGGTCAAGAGGAGCACCCTTATGACTATTACTATGATGACCCCGATTACTTAGAGAATCCATAAAGGTTATACCTCCCTAGTCAGAATGTATAGAAACTTCCGCTGTGTATTAATTATTAATTAATTAGTTAGGTGAGTACCTATTATTGTAAAACCCTTAGTATTGTAAAACTTTAACGTATGCAATGAAGAACCAGTTATATTGTATGTATCAATATTTACTGATCCAAGGATTGATACATTATCTTAGTCGGGTCTAAGTTGTTAGTTCCGGGCTCCGACATAGATAAAGTGAGTAATAGTAACATTGAGATTGGATAAAGTAGAGGTATTCTAGTCTTCTGGTATTTGTATTGGTATGTGTGCGATGGATGAAAATAAACTTATTTTGAGACAGAGGCGATACTTGTGAAAAATAAGTGTGGTAAGCTAGTTAGCTGCTCCCTTCATCCCAAAATATAAGTATTTTTAGCTA